CCACTAAGTGCAGAGCCCAGTGCAGGGCTTGGTCTCACGATCCTGAGATCATGACCTAAGCCAAAATCAAGAGTCAGATGCTTAACTGAACCACCCAGACACCCCAGGTTGCTAAATTTTTTGCCATTATAAAAAAAAACTCTGAGAAACATGTCTTATATATATATGTGTGTGTGTACATATATATGTATATATATACATATCTATGTGTGTACGTATGTATGTATATATATGGCCTTGGGTGCATTTCTGATTGTTAGCTTCGATTTAATCCCTGAAAGTGGAACTCATCCGTGAAATAGCCTCAGTGTGTTTAAGGCTTTTCATTCATACTACAGAATTTCTCTACAGAAAGAATTGTACCAGCTGACCATTCCCAGCAGTGACGAGTGGTCTCTCACCAATATGGGGGGTTCGGGGGTAGGGAAGATGGTGCTGCTGTTGGCCCACATACATGGTACATTGAAATCCGTCTGTTTTCCGGGGACTACAGCTGACGTCATCACCACTCTGCTGGCTTTAATAAGATGGAGCAGCACTCCATCTATCAGCGATGGCGCTGGAGTTCTTCGGGGCCATAGAAGTGCTGCATTTGAAGCAATATGTGGGTAGCGGGCAGGACTCTACGACACTCCAAAGATTGCTGTCCCTGGTACGCGCACACCTTCTCCTAGTTACTCCCCTAACGCTTTCAGGGAAAACGAAAACGTGAAAGCATTTCTGTTTCCCTTAAATCAGAAGGGAAAAAAAAAACACTTTTCAAGTTGAAGAAGGTGCTTTAACATATCCTATTAATGTACTTGTCTTTGTGCCATTGCGGTTGTAAAATGCAGTTTTGGTATTGGTATGGAGGAAGAGAGTTCCCACGGAAGCAGAAAGGGCCTGTGGAAGTCACAACACAGCCAGCTGTGTGATACCAGCTCGGTTCTAGAGAAGTGGGCGTTTGTACGGAGGGTGGCACGCGTCACCTTACCCTCGGCCCTGGAAGTGGGGAAGCTGCTTTTTGAGGTGATCTCAGTGGATGGATGGCTTCCAGCTTTGGTTACTGGGAAGGGTTGCAGATCGCTGGTGATGCCTTGGCCGCCTCTGCCCTGGCTGAGCTGGGAAGTACCTCCCTCGCTTTCAGCGACTTGCATCGTGCTTCCCAACTTGTCTTGCGATGAGTAGAAGTAGCCAGTTCCTCGAGCGCGTCTGAGAGGTCCTCGGTTCCCTGGTCAGGCCCTCTGGTTCCATTCTGAGCGTCACCCCGGCAGGACCGTGGCAGGACCGGGCAGCCCCTGCGTGCCACCCCACGCCCCACCCCGAGGATGTGCACGCTTCCAGAATGCAAAGAGCAAGGGAGAGCACACCAGTCTGAGCAACTGAATCTAGTCTGGGAATCAAAGAGACGACATTTTGAAGGTACACCATGCTTTGAAGCCTGTTAGCCAGGCACCCGGACGATCCACCTTCCAAAGGACTTACTTTTTTTTTTTTTAAGATTTTATTTATTTATTTGACAGCACAAGCAGGGGGCAGAAGGAGAAGCAGGCTCCCCGCTGAGCAGGGAGCCTGATTCGGGCTCGATCCCAGGACCCTGGGATCATGACCTGAGCTGAAGGCTGACGCTTAACCGACTGAGCCACCCAGGCACCCCCAAAGGACATATTTTAGTGCTGCAAATGCAGAGGTGAGTCTCTGGCTCACCCAGTGCCCCAGCCGGGACAGCTCCCGGCAAGAAACTATCAGGAAGATGTGATCCTCTCTAGGTTATTATAAGACCCAGGAGATAATCAGTGTTTTCTTTGCTGTCAGGACTCAAGCAGGGCAGTGTTGTTCTGACGTAGGATTTAGTCTGCTCGTGCCAGTCTTCCATCCCGTCACGAATGAAGGGCTGCACATGTATGAGGGGAGGGCCTTGTCTGCTGTGCAGCTTTGTTGGGGGACCTGAGGTTGGCGCATGTGTGGCTCTGTTCTCTCTGACCCCGACACGTTTCCCTGCATCTGAAGCTCAGACCCAGCTAAACGCTAAGGGTGTGAAGGAAATCTCAAAATCTCAGCTTTGGGAGGGACCTCGGCAGCTCTCAAGCCTAGCCCTGGTTAGCTATGCAAACCTCCCACTGGGCCTGGCCTGGAGGCTCTCTGAGCCACCCGTTCGGGGGCTCTGATGCTTGAATGGAGTGTTTTCTAGCCATTTTTATGTCGTCACCTGGGTTCTGCCTTAGAAAGATCTTAATTGTCATTTTACAAGACAGCTCTCTGGCCAAAAGAAGAGGTTCTTGGACTCCTTCTGTGCTCCTTCTCCAAGTTTAGCGTCATTCCCTCTGTTATGGGGCCAAATTGTGTCCCTCAAATTCATGTGTTTTAGTCCTAACCCCCAGTCCTGCTGAATGTAACTATATTTAGAGATAGGGCCTTTAAAGAGGTAACTAATTAACGGTAAAAAGGTGTCATTGGGGTGGGTCCTATGTGCCTGGTGTCCTTCCAAGAAGAGGAGATTAGGACACAGACACAGAGGGACGACCATGTGAGGACACGGAGGAGAAGATGACCATCTACAAACCAAGGAGAGAGGCTTCTGCCAGCACCTCAATCTCAGACTTCCGGCCTCCAGAACTGGGAGAAAGTGCATTTCTGTTGTTAAAGCTGTCCGGTCTGTGGTACTTTGTGATGGCTGCCCAGCAGAGGGATCCACCAGCCCACCACCCCTCTCCTAACACCTCGTAAAAAGTGGCATCTAGAAGAACTGATTATGATTGGGCCAGAGAAGAGTAGGATGGTCAGCACCCATGTTATTTTTTTTTTTTAAGATTTTATTTATTTATTTGAGAGAGAATGAGAGAGAGCACATGAGAGTGGGGGGTGGTCAGAGGGAGAAGCAAACTCCCCGCTGAGCAGGAAGCCCGATGCGGGACTCGATCCAGGGACTCCAGGATCATGACCTGAGCCGAAGGCAGTCGCTCAACCAACTGAGCCACCCAGGCGCCCCAGCACCCATGTTATTAACAAACCAAGATCCCATTAACTTGGCTGGTCATGATACCGAGTGACCATCTCCAAAGGCTTTCGTGTTTGTTTTCTAAAACTATTCTTGCTCAGGCACTCTTTTTGCATCCTGTACTCGATGCAGTTGTTTTTTGAACTTGGTTGCAGGATTTTATGTGTAGTCCTGTTAAACTTTGCCTGCCTTGGGCTGAGTGAGCCAGTGACCGCCCCCATGCCTCAGGGAGGCCTTTGGAAACCACGTGGGGTGTCATCACGGTTGGGCCTGAGGGGTTCCCACAACACACATCCCATTCCCTGGTGAGAACCTGGGGTTTGGATGGAGGATTTCCTTTGGAATGACACGTAGGACAAAACTAACTGTCCCTAAGGTGGATTTCAGGATACGCAGTGCCCAGTGTGGGTACGATGGGGTTTCAGGTAGGATATCTGGGAGAGGTAGGTATGAATCCGAGCCGTAGGTGCAGAAACCCATGGTGGTATCCACGAGAATTGGGCCTTGCTGAAGGAGGGAAGACAGGTTCTGAGAAATGTCCTGGCTCAGCCACACAGGGGACGTGTGACAGAGGCAGAGTTTGGCTTCTCTATCCCTGTGGTTCCTTCTCTATCGAAGAAATTTCTTCTGGGAATTGAGGTAGAAGAGGCATAGAGATCCCAAAATGAAATGTCAGAGTCCTGTCGAGTTATCTAAAAAGGTCTTCTGTGTCATCAAGCCATTGCCTGCGAGGCTGTAAGAAGGTAGGGTCCTCCCTGAGGACATCTCAGGGGAGTGTTTGGGACAGGATCAGCCCTCAGAAGATGAGCTTCTTTTGGAATTCGACTTAAATTCAAGTGCTCTTCATCTGGCTCAGGAACATCAGACCCTGTATTTTGCACATGATCCAAGTCATCTGACCAAGGATGGGTATTATGGACAGGCCTGGGTCCTCCCTGGGGCCATGTTGGTTTTTCATAGCAGAGCATCATTGGCTGTCTGCATGGATAGGCCTGCACTGGGCAGTTCTGTTGTCCCCGGGGCCCCTGACAGGCACAGGCGAGCACCATTAGCTCGGAAGTGCTGACAGTAAAGACACCTAGAACATTCCACAAGAACTCTTCTCCCTGAAGGAGAATAGTAGTTCATACCATATGATAAATTCTTCATGACTCGGTCAGTCATTGGGAGGACTGCACTCTTCTTGAATCCATTCCCATTTCCTGTGATTTCCCCTTTGGTGATGTTCCTAGAAGATGTTCATGGGACAAAGAGTGTAAACATGGCTTGCTAATCCCAGCACATCCTCTTTGCTGGTCCTTAGCACCTCAGGTGAGTTTTTAATCCCTGATCCTGACTCCTCTTCTGCCCGTGTGGTGGCCTCTGTAAGGAATAAGGGCAATAGTAAGTACAGATGCACTTTGTGAATTAAAAAGCTGTATTCGGGGGCACCTGGGTAGCTCAGTCGGTTAAGCGCCTGACTCTTGGTTTTGGCTCAGGTCATGATCTCAGGGTCATGGGATTGAGCCCCGTGAGGCTCTGTGCTGAGCATGGAGCCTGGTTAAGATTCTTTCTCTCCCTTTCCCTCTGCTCCTCCCTCCCCCCCCCCCCCCCCCCCCGCCAAAAAACAACTGTATTCAAATGGAAAGTACACGGACCAGTTTATCCTTACAGGTACGGTAGTCTTAAACTTTTATTTATTGTAAACTGAAGTCCCTTCCATGCTTCCGAACTGTTTGCACTGACCTCATTCGTTACTTGTAATAGTCTGACCCTTTTCTTCTCTACCTTGACATGTCCAAACCTCGAAGTCCTGGCCGGACCCACCAGCTGCCTAGGCTGCAGGGTGGCCTTGGGAGTGACCTGGGGCCTCTGCGGGCTGAGGAGGTGATGGGGTGGTAGGGGCTGCCGAACCAGTGGCTCAAGGGAGAGGTGGCTTTCCCACCCATTTTTGGCCCAGCGAGGGCAGCCTGTACTTCCCGAAGCTTTGGGCCCCAGCCTGACACTCCGTGAGCTCATGGACTCCTGTGTGTTTCTGTTCAAGATTTACGTCCACCTGAAGGAAGGCGGGGGCCCCGATGGGCTGGACGCACTGAAGAATAAGCCCCAGCTGCACAGCATGGTGGCCCGAAGTCTGTGCCGGAACGCGGCAGGCAAGAACTACATCATCTTCACGGGGCCCAGCATCACCAGCCTGACCTTGTTTGAGGAGCTGGAAAAGCAAGGTTTGTTGTGTGACGAGCCAGTCTCAGCGTGGCCGCCGCCGCCCTGGAGAAGCGGTGGGGAGGTCTGGGGGGTGCAGGTGCGTAGCGACCAGCACGGCCCACAGACCGCTGCGGCCAGGAGGGAACACAGCGGTTTCAGCCCGCGGTGTGCCTGCCACGTACCTGGACCCTGCCGGGCACCAGAGATCTGAGGGCACGCCTGCCTCGGGCTCGCACTCTGCCCAGGGCACCTTTGTGTCCTTCCCTGTGAGACCGGGGCCATTCCAGCGGTTCTCCCGGTGTCTTTGTCCATTCGGGCCGCTCTCACAAAGTACCTCAGATTGGGTGGCTTATAAACAGCAGGTATTTATTCCTCACAGTTCTAGAGGCCAGAAGTCCAAGATCAGGACGCCAGCCCTAGAAGGGCCTCTTCCAGGTTGCAGACCTCCCATGACGTGATGGAAGCGACAGGAAGCTCTCTGGGGTCCCTTTTCTTGAGGGCACTCCTCCCATTCACGAGGGCTCCACCCCCACGACCCAGGCCCCTCCCAGAGGCCCCGCCTCCTAACAGCCTCCCCTGGGGCATGAGGCTTTCCGCGGAGGAATTTGGGGGGAACGCACACATTTGCTCTGTAGTGCCTAGATGCCGCTCCTGCGAAGGCCCGGAAGTCTGGACTCAGCCCCCACCTATGATGTGGGCGCTCAGGCTGACAAGGACATCACAGAGAATTATGTAGATTAATACAGGCTCCAGGGCAGTGGGCCTCAGAAAATTCTTAGTATCCCTGGTGCTGAGATGCTTTGTTCATCGGTTGAAAGATTGGGAAGCCTTTGCGGCTCTGGCAGAAATGGGGCTGGAGAAAAAGCTCTGGACTGAGTCAGGGAGCCCGAGAGCAGGCTGCTTATCCTTTGCTTTGTCCCACATTTTGGGGGGATTTATATCTAGTCCACTCGGGAGAAACATAAAAAGCCTCTGCTCCGCTATGGCAGCCACTGGAATTGCAGACCTGTTGCTGAGCAACGGATCAGACATCTGGCCTTAAAATCCTCTCGAGTCATAGGGAGCCACCACCTTCTGACCTTGACCTCCGCCACGGCAAGGATGAAGCAGCCGCTGGACTTGGTGCTCTGCTGGCCCTGCTGGGTCTTACTCCTCTGCGAGGTCCAGTCCCCGACAGGGCTCGGGGTTTACCTGTGGGGAGAACTCAGGGTGGAGAGGTCAGACTATGTGAAGAGGGGCCGTGGAAGTCAAGGTGGAGAAAATTGGCCCTCATGTGTGTTACCAGCCACATGGGAAGAATGAGAGTGTGGTGAGAGCCTGGGCTGCCATCCCTGCCCGCCTAGTCCAGTCCCGGGGTGGGTGCGTGGCCATGAAACCCTGGGGTACCTGGAACTGCCTTGGGGTGCAGATGCAGGGATGAGGGAAGCATGCACGCGGTTACAGAACGTTTCAGGTTACTGACAATAGGGTGTCAGTGTTCGGCGGACTTCAGTCTTTCACTGAAGACCCTGGGGATGAGACCGTCCCCAGTGACTTCAGTCAAAAGGGCTGCTTCACGCCCCCTGCAGGCATCCAGACTGGAGCTGGCTGCAGGGAGAAGCAGGCTCCCCGTGGCCCGCTCAGTGGGGCAGGCCTGTGCGTGGGGAGGGCCAGGAAAGGCCTCGAGCCCAGGGCGGAATTTAGCGAGGTCTCCTTGTTCACACTGGCCTGTGCTCACAATCCCGCCTGCCCCCATGGAACCTTCTGTGCATTAAAGGCCACACTGTCGCCCCTCTCTCGAGAGGCTTTACGTTCAGAGGCAGGACTCTGTCCCGGCGCATATTGCTTGGTGATTCTTTCCTCTGCATTTAACTTACCTCCCAGGGAATGGGGGCTCCGTCCTGCACGCTGCCTCTGGGTACTGTGCACGCAAGCACAGGGCGGGGCCTGTGGCTGGTCCAGTCTTGGCCAGAGTGTTAGGGGGTCATAACTGTGGTCAGGCTTGGACAGCAGACAGACCTGTGCTTAATCCCTGCCTTGCCCTCCTAGCTGGAAGCCTGGGGGCCTCTTGGAGCTGTAGTTCTTCTTCTGTAATGTGGGTAGGATAACCTGGGTGCAGAAGTTTCCAGAAGTTTATAGAAGCAGATGGGATGAGGGGTGCACATGCTCAGCGCTGTGAGCGCTGTAACGACGAGACTCCCGTTGGTACTGCCGATTCACTGCTCATGTGATGGTCTCGTGTGTCATCTTAAAGGTACTTACAGAAGTTCTGGGAGAGATAGCACCTTCGGGATAGAAGTCCCCGAACTGTAGCAGTCTCCTCTACGGGGACTTCTAGGGGGCCCGTCTCCCAAGCGTCAGCCTCAGAACAGGGCAGTCCTGTCCTCCACGCCGGTGTGCGCGGGCTGTCCGTGACCGTGTGGACACGGATTTGTGTCCCTCTCCCCGCAGACATTTACTGCTGCGGCCTGCTCAGCTCCAGGAAGAGTGACTGCACCGGCCTGCCCCTGTCTATGCTGACGAGCCCGGCCACCCCCCCAGCCCGGGGCCAGCACCGCATCAAGATGAAGGGGAACATGTCTCTGATCTGCTGGTACAACAAAGGGCACTTCCGCTTCCTGACCAATGCCTACTCGCCGGTGCAGCAAGGTGGGGCCCCGGGGGGACTCTGCAGCTCTGGTGTTGGGTAGCCCCCGTTCCCCAGCACTCACCACGCCACATCCGACAGGGATGGGAGGTGGGCAGGAGCTACCGGGGCCCGCGGGCCGCCAGCTCAGCGTGGCTTGCCAGCTGGGAGAGAAGCCACGGCGGCGGGCTTTGTGGGTCCCCCGGCTTGTGCGTGGCCACGGTGAGTGGCCGTGTTCGAACGGCATTTCCCCGATCACTTGATCATCTAGGAGTCTTTGAAGAATCTGTTCTGATGGGAGGGGAAAATATCCACTGTTTTATCACTTTGGCGTCATTCTTCGAGGTTACCCACTGGTGTTTTGGGGCGTTCAGGTGATTCTGTCATTAATCTTCCTGGGGGTTTAGAATCCATTCATAACAAAGGGATTTACTTAGCAAGGATTCTATAGTTAAAGTAGCTACAGCTGAAACACTTGTAAACTGCTGAAAAGGGAAATGGAAATGACAGTGGGGCACTTTACAGAAATATTTGCATTTACATAGTGTATTTGAAAATCCCCTGTATTCCTTTATATTAAGACATCTTTCCTCTTCTGAAGGAACTCTGTAGGGGGCTCAGTTGTGGGGGAGGAGTGTGGGGGCATGTATGTGGGTGTGTGTGTGGTGTATCTCTGTGATGTGTATGTTTGTGGGGGGGGCTGCTTAATTAACGTCTGCTGTTCATTTATTCTATCCCTCACCCCCTGCACACACACCTAAGTCACATTATGTTTCAGTGGAGATTAGAATCCAGGGACGCAAGCCTATGGGACTTGGGTGTAGAGAGCTATAGAAACCTCCAGGGCTGTGTGAAGGGCCCTTAGAGGAAATGTTTGGAATTGACCTTGCAAGCCGAAGGTGGGACTTTGAATTGGACTTCTGTACTCTCCTGATTGGGCAAGAGCATTCACGGGGAGAAAGTTCGGGAAGAGGTTGTAGGAGCTGCCTCCCACCAAATTGTGCATAACAAATTATAAATTATGCAATACGATTTAAGATGACAAAACCTTAAAACCCCAATCTCAAGGTTTGAGAGCCTTAAATCCGTCACCAAGGGAACCAGCAAAGAGGATATTGATGGGGAAGAAGAAAAAAATTGGTAGGCTTGATCTTTAAATATGCCAAAATTTAGCGTTTGTGTTTCTTTCAGTTGTAGTTTCCATTTCTAAAGTACTCTAAATCACAAAATCCTGGGTGCCTGGGTGACTCAGTCGGTGAAGCATCTGCCTTGGGCTCAGGTCAGGATCCCAGGGTCCTGGAATCGAGCCTGACATTGGGCTCCCTGCTCAGTGAGGAGCCTCCTTCTCCCCTCCCCTCTGCCCCTTACCCTGGCTCATGCTCTCTCTCTCTCATGCTCTCTCAAATAAATAAATAAATAAATAAATAAAAATCACAAATTCCCAAATTTTAGACTCCCTTAAAATTCCCAGAAAGTATGCCTCAGCCCCTCTGGCAGCACCCCTAGGGTGGGTGGCCCAGACACCCATGAACCAGGCCTGCTTGGGAGCAGAAGCACCCGGAGGCAGGGAGGCGGTGTGGAGAGCCCAGGCTGGCCCCCCTCTCCTCCCCATGGGGGATTCCTTTCACTAGTCCACATCTTAGAGTGTTTGGTTTTGTCTGTTTTTTTTTTTAATGAAGGGAGATATTTTTCCTTTCAATGTACTTTCATTTTTTAAAATGTCATAATTTTTCTGCACCCTCATTAATGATCCATTTTTTATATGAATAATGTAGTGAATATTTCCATACATTTGGGAACATCTTTGATGATTTCCTCAAAATAAATCTGAGAGTAGAGTAGCTGGCCCAGAGGGTCTGAACATTTTGAAGGCTTTTGATGACATGTTGTCGAAAGACCGTTCTTAACACTGTGACAGGCTATGAGAGGACCCATACTCCTCCTGCGTTTACCAACACGTTTTTTTCCCCTAAATTTGTCAATCTGGGGGGTGAAAATGCTACAGAATTTTAAATCTAAATTGCATGACTACTGGGGAGGTTGTGCATCTCTTTGTGAATTTGTTGGCCAATTTTCAGTGATTTCTTCGTGTTCTCTTCAGTTTGTCCTTTGAGATGCTTGTCTTGTTGAAAGCAAATTTTATGTGTATAATAGGCAAGTGTTTTTCTGGATTTGTTTTACTTTTGCTTTTATTTATGATTAGTATTTTTAAACCTAAAATTGTTTTTCCTTCTGCACGGGCAGATCTGTTGGTCACATTCTTTGTTCTTACAAGAGCTTTGGAAGTCCCTGCTTTGTGCCAAGGCTGAATGAGTGTAAGATCACCTGCTTGTCATACAGTGTGATTTTGTGCTCTTTACAGTAACCCTCTGGCATCAGTTGGGTTTTTACTCTTTTTTTTTTTTTTTTTTTTAATTAAGTGGCAAGGGTTGGCTGACCAAGCAGGCCTGCCTCCGTGCCTGAACCATTTATAGAAAAACTCTTTTTCTACTTTTTAAAAATATCACCCAGAGGATGAAGTCTCAAATATTGTAAAGACTGCCTTTCAGCTTTAGACTCTCTCGTGCTATGATCATATATATATATATATATATATATATATATATACACGCTCTTCTAAAAGTTGAGTAGAATTTCCAATTTTAGTAAATATATAACTGGTTAGGAACATTTTAGGAATCGGTTTATTATTTCTTCTGGATTCTAAGGAAAAACGTCCCTTCTTTCAGAGAGCGTGAGCATGTGCACCGGCTTCTTAAAAGTCGCATTTCCAGGGATATCCGTAGGGAGAACCCAACCCTTCTGCTTTCCTTCTGAAATCCGTTTTGGATCTGTCCTCTCCCTACCAGAGTCCTGGCCCACCTGGGGTTCAGGCTCCATGAGACCGATGCACACACACAACGCGGGTGTAGGACTGAGTCAGGGCTTGACTCATGCAGCCTCACGGAGTGGCGGAACGAACGTCAGCCACGCCACGAATAGCCTTGGCAGGCGGTGGACGGGGCTGCCACCGCGCGTGAGCACACGTGTTTCTCCCACCCGGTCTGCTCGATCTCGTGGTGCCGCAGAGGTATCTCGTGGGCGCACGGAGATTCCACACAGCTGCGAATGCGCAGGGTTCGCCCAGGGCACCTTTGGGCCGCATACGGGTGACGTCAGCAACACCAGTAAATATCAGCCTCTTGTCAACCTGCCCCATGTCCAAGCTTGTTGGTCCTCAGAAAAGGATATTATGGGACATTTCTAGCTGGAATAGTATCTCAAAATCCAAAATATCACCAGGGACGAGGGTGATTTATAAAAGGGGGGAAATGCTCAAGCAGATGAGCGCAGATCTGGGGTTTCAAGCCACTCTGCCGAGATTTCCAGCAGGAAGCCTCGTAAGTTGACAACTATGAGGAGGATGAGGAGGGAATGAAGGGCTGGAGCAGGTTCCCTGTGGCATTCAAGGAACTATGGCCCCGGCGGTCACCCAGGAGGCCGGCGCTGCAGGCTGGGGGAGCTCCAGGGACGAGGTCGACCCCGAGCCCCTTGGCGCGTGAGCCCGACTCCCTGGAAAGCTGGGTGACTCAGAGCGAGTCACCCTCCACATCTGGGGAAGAACGGAGGGGACTCTGTTCCTGTATAGGGATGATCTGATGCGCCCATATCCACGTGCACTCCGTGGAGCCCTATGGGGCCCGAGCCTCTTTAGACTCAGAGGAAGCTGTAATTTCGGACAAATGAAAACAGAGCTGGGAAACCTGCCCAGGCCTGGGCTCATGTGTGAGACTAGGATGCTTCCCTGATCGGTCTTGGGCTGGGGTGGGGTGGCTGAGGTAAGGGACCAGGAACAGGCATGCTCAGGGGCACTGTTGGAGAGGGACAGCCCTCCTTGGAGGCTGCAGGACATGCCCACCCTGCCTGCGTGGCTGGATCACCAGACAATAGAGCATCTCCATGCAGAGTCCCAGAACCCTCTGGAGAGGAGGAAGCCCCCAGCCTGGGCCTCAAGGCCTTCTGACCCTCCAAGAGCTTTAGGAAATGCATTGCCTGGGCCCCACTCCAGGCCTCCCGAGACCACATCTCTAGGGGTGGGGCCCTGCCAACCTCAAGTTCTCCGGGGACTTCTCGGTGTGAAAAACCAGTATCTGGGGGCATGGCTGGGGGGCAGGGACCAAAAGAAACAAAGATTCCAGCTCAGGGCTCAGTCTGTGCAAATGGATCCCTACACTCCTGTCTCCTGCAGGTCCCTTGGTGAGCGGGCAGGAGACACGCTAGGTGAAGCCCCTTATGCCTGCAGGGGACACCCCTCTTGTACTTCCACCATATCCATTCAAGTAGCACGAAAACTTCGCACTCCTTTAGACTGATCCCTTTTGAAAAACACACTCCAAAAAACAGTGTTGTTCTCATAATCACATGATGCTGTGGGGGGAGGCTGGTCAAAGGAGATGGTAGCAAATCCCAGCCAAACCTGAGCGCGCACGGCTCCTTGGACAAAAGCGTTCTTCCACGTCTTCCGCGTCATGTCTGGAGGGCAGCTGTGGGCCTGTGGGGCGGGTCTTGGAAACGAGGTGGTCCCGCAGCGGTTTGGGCAGCAGGGTGAGGAGGGCTAACTGATCTCTTTCTGCTCCTCGCACCCCGATCAGTGGGCAGTACCCCTGGACACCTTCCCATTTGCATTTAGTAGAGCAAAGGCATTTGAAGGCCTGGGGTTGGGGTGGGGGGCAGAGTTTCCAGGAGCGGCAGGATGCAAAAGGCATTTTCCCTCCCTTAGTCCACAGGGCCCCCCAGAAGTTCTGGGATGCATGGAAGGGGGAACCTGGGGCTTGTTGGGTGGGGGGCTCCTCGTTCTTCTGGATCTGTAACTCCGCCCTTCTGCAGTGATGGAGGCAGGCAGAGGAGGCAGAAAGGACTCGAGCGCTCCCTGACCTCGGCAGCCTTCGTGTGCGGAGGGAGGAGGTGGGGAGAGTGAGTCCTGCATCTCCCCTTTGCTCTCTGAAGGCCCTGCCAGGTGCGGCACCCTCCCCGGTGTCACTTAAAGCCACCTTTGGGCCCGCCATCACCCCACGTGCCCGCAGCACCCCTACGCACTCACCTAACTTTATGTTCTCAAGTCCTCGGAAGCTTTTAGGGACTGGTGTCCATCTTCTCCCCCTCGCCCTCCCGCCTTCCCCCTCGGGTCCCAGTTGCATGGCAGCACGGCCAGGCAGGGTGGAGCTAGGACCTTCATCAGCGGGCGTGTGCAGGAGACGGTTCGGGAGGGGGTGTGAGCTTCTCTCTCCTCCGCAGGAGTGATCATCAAGAGGAAGAGTGGGGAGATCCCCTGCCCCTTGGCCGTGGAGGCGTTTGCTGCCCACCTTAGCTACATCTGCAAGTACGATGACAAGTACAGCAAGTGAGTGAACAGGCGGCTCATAGCCACGGGAAGGCTCCTGCGGTCTCGCGGGCGCGGAATAGAGGTTGCTGGGTGCTCAGGAGCCCCCCAGCTTCAGAATGAATGGAACAAGCCCCTGGGAGACAAAATCCTGAGCCCCCGTCCTGGCCTTCTGGGCTCGCCCGTGCAGCCCCCTCCCGTCCGGGCGCCCTGCCTCCTCCCCCGCCACCCTTGCCCTGAGGTGCCCTTCCTTCCACTCACTCGGGTCTAGCCTGCACCCTCCGTCCCCCGGCTGGACTGCCCTCCGCCCGTCCCTCACAGCTGCGGCCCATCACACTGAGCCCTGGTTTCCAGTGCAGGTTACATAATTCTTTCCACTCTGGATGCCCGGAGCAGGTGCACACCCCCAGCGCTGTAACAGGAACTCAAGAAGCGATTGCTGGTGAACCTGAGTGTGACTATTAATTGCCAGGGTCGAGCCTCACAACCTAGAACAAAGTTGGAGTAACCCCAAAGACAGGTGGGCGTTTACTCAGCCCGCTTGGAGGGGAATCTGCTGGACTTCATGGCAAAGAGAGAAAACCGAGGACCCAGTTCTCCCTGGAAAACTGAGCCTAGGTTTGGAGGGGAGCCCCACTCCACTGGGAGTCCTTGAGCAAATGTTTATTGCACACCAGGTGTGTGCTCAGCACCTGCTGATTCCATGCGGTTACTACAAAGGAATCCGCATTGATTTAATAGACACGTTGAGGACCGCTCTGGGCTGCTGGTGGTGAGGATACTGACCCTCAAACACTCCTCAGTCTGGTGCAGAGACAAAGATGTGATGGAGGATACAGTGCAGGGATGAGTCCTAAGTTGGGCTGGCCCTGGAGGGGCCTCCCTGAGGTGACATCCGTCCTGGACCTGAAGGGAAGGCGGGGGTGGCAAAGAGACGTGCACTCGGGAGGAGGGGACACATTGCAGACGCCTGCAGCTGAGGGTGAACTTGCCCTTGGGACGTGGAGGCAGTTCAGTGTGCCCGGGACACGGCGTCCGAGGAGGGCGCTGGGCAAAGCTCGGGTTGGAGCTTCTGAGCCTCGCCACGGAAGGCCTGGCTCCCTGTTCCAGCATCTCCTCCAGCGACTCCACTCCCAACCAATCCTCTGATAGGAATGGTTTTCATCTTAGTCCCAGGTCAAGTTCAGTGTGACAGGGCCTCAGCGGGAGCCGGCCCCCAGCCTGCCTCCCACCCCCGCAGCTCCTCAGTAGCAGCACTGGCCATGATGAGGCCCTTTGGGACCATCCCCCCCTGACGCGGGTGCCCGTGAACCCCTGGGGTCAGCCTCTCTTATCCCTCTGTCCTCGTAGGTATTTCATTTCTCATAAACCGAACAAGACCTGGCAGCAGGTGTTCTGGTTCGCCATCAGCATCGCCATCAACAACGCCTACATCCTCTACAAGATGTCCGACGCCTACCACGTGAAGAGGTACAGCCGGGCGCAGTTTGGCGAGAGACTGGTGCGGGAGCTGCTGGGCCTGGAGGAGGCCTCGCCAGCCCACTGATGCGGCCGCGGCCGGGCTCAGGTGAGGACCAGGTCCGGGAGGCCGGAGGAGGGAGAGAGCCTGCCGTTCTGACCTGCCCAGCCCGAGCCCTGGGCGCCCCCGCGGGGGAGGGGGGTGGGCCCGGAGGGGTGCCCCGGCCTCCGCAGGGCCCGGGGTGGGCCTGGTCAGACGACGGCTGCTCTCCCGGTTCCCCTTCAAAGAAGAGCACGTCCTCCCTCCAGAAGCCGCCCACCCGGTGCCGGGATGGGCGCCGCACCCAGACTCTACGTGCGGCCCGGGCGCTGCCGGTGGCCTTTGCCCGGCGGGGCACCGCATCCTCGGGACACCCGTGGAGCTCACCTCAGCACGGGGGACCCGGGAAGGCTGTCGCCACCAGAGGTGCCGGGGACAGGATGAGCCGTAGCGTGTTCTGCTAGAAGGGCCTGCTCTGTGAGGGTGTAAAGACGTGTGTGACCTGGTTCCCCCTCGTGCCGTGTCTGCAGGTGACCGGAAGCGAGCGGGTCGCGCTGAGGCGGTCGGGCGTGTGCGGGAGACCAGAGCGTTCTCTGGCACTTGCCTCGTGCAAGCCACTTAGAACGGGTCTCCTAGGACAAGAAACACAAACTGGGCCATGAAAATGCAGGGATGCAATGGGGGGAGCGGTTGCCCGTTCTGATTAATAAATGAGGCGTCCCTACTCATTTCATTTCTCTGGCTGGTGGCCCGGGTGGGGGGGGCGGGGGGGAAGGGGAAATGCCAACAGAACCGCAGTGATGTGTGATGCTATTTTTTATTTTTAAATATATCTTCAGGTTATTTTCTTACTGTTGCTTAAGATCTTCTGTAAAAGGAAAATACCCCCCTTCTTTCCCCCCCCCTCCCCCCCCCCCACCGCAGCCGTGACTCCTTGCATGAGCACAGTTCGGCATTCCAGGCCCTGTGACTGTACTGGGGCCGGAAGGGGCAGCTGGCTTCCTGAACGGACGTGGTTCCACTCCATCAAGGATCCCGGGGGGGAGTGGGGGGGTCTGTGGGCCTTACGCTTTGTCACAGATGTTGCCATTGGCAGAATTCCTTGTTTCGAAAACGTGTAGCATTGCTGAAGCAAACAACAAAAGGACGCTTGCTCCCCCACCCCGGCCTCGGCCCCGTGTGCGGTGACCTGGTGGAGTCTACCCCTGTCTGCCCTCGGGGCCCTGTGGCCGGCACACCCGAGCCCTGTGATGGGCCGGGGCCCCCAGCTCTGTCGGGTGTGATGTCCCGCAGGGCCGGGGGCTCCCTCACCCGGGGACCGAGAGCTTCACGTCCAGCAATCAGCAGCAAGGGCTCCGCTGACTTCCCACAGCCTCCGGGGCTCCTTGGGAACCCCGGTCCGCGTGTCTCCGGGGGAGGCCTCAGCCCAGCTCGCCCACTGGCCTGACCATCCCCCACAGACGAGAAACAGTGACTTCTGGAGTTACGTGATCCCCCTGCACCCCAATTTATGTAGCCCCCTCATTTTTTACAAATGCAAAATCTATTCTACTCAGGCTTTGGGACTTTCTTCCTTGTTCATACTCCGTTGATTCCATGTGTCGCTGGCAGCATGCTCCCCAGCTCCATGTCATTTCCGCATCCTAGGTTCATGAGGACCCCCCACGCCCTGTGGTTTGAATTCGATGCCACGGATTGTAGGCCACATTTTCAATTGTGTTTCAGAACACCTTCGCCGTATCCTTTAATTGGATTGAAAGCACTTTTACCACATGGAGAAATATATTTTTAATTTGTGACGCTTTTCTACGAGGTCCACTCTTTCTGAGTCTAATGTGTTTCCAACACTTGGGGAGACTCTGATGAAAGCTGATGAATTTTCTTTTCTGTCCAAATAAGTAAAGGAAAAAATAAAAGTCTATTTAGATGCTGATCCTTTGTTAACATGTGGGTTTCTTTCCAATGTTAGGGAAAAAGTATGGGCTACTCTTTTAAGACTTGACTTCTCGTTCTGTCACCTAGTGTGTATGATCTGGGACTGTTTTTAGTATCCTGTACCCTTGAGCAGTTTAAAAAAGAAATTCAGTTAAGTCTTTTTTTTTTTTTTTTTTACGATTTTATTTATTTAGGGGCGCCTGGGTGGCTCAGTCAGTGAAGCATCTGCCTTGGGCTCAAGTCATGATCCCAGGGTCCTGGGATCGAGCCCCACATCGGGCTCCCTGCTCAGCCAGGAGTCTGCTTCTCCCTCTCTCTCTACCTCTCCAACCCCTCTCATGCTCTTTCTCTCTCTCCCTCTCAAATAAATAAATCTTCCAAAAACTTTTTATTTATTTATTTGACAGAGAGAAAGCGCACAGCCGGCCCTGTGAGTACAGCTGTATTCTAGGAGCCTGTGCGGGAGAAAGTCCCCACCTGCCTGCCGAACGGGATTCCTCCTTGTTTCTTCTAGTCGGCATTGTCATCTACATCCACCCAGAGGGGCACCGTTGGGACGGTGGGTGGGTGACTCTGTGTTACCAAGTAATTAGAGGGGGGACTTACACCATTTCGGTGCTTTAGGTTTTAAGTGGTAGCCGCCTGTTTTCAGATGAATGCTCGAAGCAGACAGCAACTTCTAGTGGAGCCCCTACAGGGTTGGGAAAAGTTTCTGTCCCTCCAGAAGGAGGAAAAAGTGACGTGGAGTACTTATTAGGAAAACCTGCAACTGGGGGGACCTCGCCCCACCGATGTGAGGCTGAGAGCCTTGGGGAATGGCTCCAGTTAAAATCCACCTGGCTCCAGCATCCCCATGGGTTTGAAGGCCTCAGCTTGACCCTGGATTGGCTGCTTTAGTAGCTGGTCCCTGCTGGTGCCAGGGGAAGGAAGTGCTGTCACCAGAGGGGGGGCTGGCACAGCCCCCGCAAAGGCCGGGAGGCAGGTGGGCACCTGTGCATCCCTGGCCGGTGAGACCTACCTGGGGCCTGCCTCGGCGGCGCATGCTCCCCTAGGGAATCGCTTTGCTGCAGGGCCTCAAAAACAGAATAAGGAGCTTCCTGATCCTTGTGGAAAATAAAAGCCTAGAAGCTTCTCCAAAGAAAAGCTCTCTTAGACCAGATGCCCTGAGCTTCATGTGGTTTAGGCCCCAGTCCTAGGACTGCGGCGATAGTCAGAATTAGGTAAGAGAAGCCTTTAGAGAAGGGAACGTGGGTGAGCTTCTGTTTCTATTTGCTGCCTTCCTGATCAGTTTCTTTATTTCATTCACGTTGTCTCTTCTCCCCACAATTCTGCTGCCCCCAAAGCCTCAGTTTTGAACAAGGTCTGACTGTGGTCAATGGAACATAATAATACTAAGGCCATATTTCAAAACTCCGGTGAGTTACATCGGAAAACCTTGGTGTCTGGATCATTCTGGGCAAAGACATCTGGTTTCTTGGCTCCATCAGACAAGGCCCAGCCACCAGAATCAAATGAACTCTACGGTTGTTGCAGAGAAGATCACAGATGCCAGGACAGGGGCTGGGAGGCTCGGGTCATCATGCATGGCCGTGCAGTGCCATTGTCCTCAGGAACCTGGCCTCAGCATCGGGCAGTGAGGGAGGCAAGCAGACCCACCCACGAGGTGGAGGTGGCAGTTGGCTTTGCAGCCCATGCCTCCTCTGAAATTCGGGGCACTTACCCTGGCAGGCACGAGACACCTTGGCATAGGGATGGCATATTCCAGAAAAGACAATAGATATGGCTTTGGCATATTCCAGAAAGGACAGAATCAGCCTCCTCAGAAAGCTGGAGCCAGACTGTATCTGACCAAAAAGTGCCAATTTGTCATGCAGCCAATTATATGTAAGTGTCTTTGGAAAACACTTGCCCCAAGAGCCAATTATACATGAGTGTTTCTGGAAAGCATGGCACCACGTGTGAGCAATAAGTTAAAAAGTGGTCCTAGTTCTCCCAGAAGTCATAACCCAGCAGAAAGAAAGTTTCTTACAAATACCAACAGGCAGTTACAAAATTTTTATTCCTTCCATTCTCCCTGTGGCTTATACTTGGTTCTATTTTCTCCAAGGAAATAGGGTACTGACCTCTTTCTCCAGCCTGACAACTGGTGTGAGGGTTTGCTTGTCCCCAGTTAACTTCTAACGTCCCACCTCATTCAATAAGAAAGGGTCACGACTTCAAGAAAAGTAGTGGTAGAAAAAAATCATTCACTGGGAAGATGAGATTTTAGCTCTTAGCTCTTTCCCTAGCCTTGGCGGTCTTTCTAAAATGCATCTATTCCTCAAAAAATTAAAACCAGCACTACCAGGGGTGCCTGGGTGGCTCCATTAGTAGAGCATGCGGCTCTTGATCTCAGGGTCGTGAGTTCAAGTCCTATGTTGGGCATAGAGATTAAAAGAAAATTGTACTACCGTATGATCTAGCAATTCCGAAGTGTATTTATCCGAAGAAAATGAAAACACTAATTTGAAAAGGTATGTGCAGTCCCATGTTCACTGCAGCATGATTTACAACAGCCAAGACATGGAAGCAACCTAAGTGTCCATCGATGAATGAGTAGATAAAATATTATATAGCCTTTAAGAAGAATGAAATCCTGCCATTTGTGACAACATGGATGGACCTTGAGGGAATTATGCTAAGTGAAATAAGAGAAAAATACTGGGGGTGTGTGGGTGGCTCAGTTGGTTAAGTGTCTGCCTTCAGCTTAGGTCGTGATCCTGGGGTCCTGGGATCGAGCCCCGCATTGGGCTTCCTGCTCGATGGGGGACCTGCTTCTGCCTCTCCCACTGCTACTCCCCCTGCTTGCTCTCTCTCTTTCAAATAAAAAATAATAAATAAAAATAAATTTTAAAAAAGAAAAATACTGTATGATCTCTCTTATATGTGGAACCCAGAAAAAAAAATATATATATACATATATCTAAATTAAGCTCATAGATCTAGAGAACAGATTTGTAGTTGCCAGAGATAGGGGACGGAATGTGGGAGAAATGAGTGAACTGCTTCTTTTTTTTTTTTTTTTTAAGATTTTATTTATTTGACAGAGACACAGTGAGAGAGGGAACATAAGCAGGGGGAGTGGGAGAGGGAGAAGCAGGCTTCCCGCAGAGCAGGGAGCCCGATGTGGGGCTCAATCCCAGGACCCTGGGACCATGACCTGAGCCGAAGGCAGACGCTTAACGACTGAGCCACCCAGGTGCCCCACTTTTTTTTTTTAGTTAGATTGATACCAAAAAAATAAAAATGCACTGAGTTTCATAATTGAGAGCTTTCTCCCAGTGAATAGAATGTAGAAGGAATGAACAAAAGAAGGAAGCAGGGTATGTGGTTTCTGTTATTTCAATAGATAAGAAAGAACAGAATGGTTGCATACATTTTTTAAGTGTAAATTTAAGATCTGGAGTTCTGGGATTGTTTCATTGAGGCATTTTGGAGTCACTTTCATCCATTTCAACATAATGCCATACATAGCTTATTGTGGCTCTTTACAGTGTGTCTTACCAGTACTTACCAGTAGAAGTACGGTGTCCAAAGTGAGACAAGTGCTGTACTCGATCCTGTGCCAGACCAGCCATGAGTCCAGGCCTGGCCACCATCCTGCAAGAAGAGACGACCAGTTAGGAGGTCCTGGAGTCGAGGACAGTGGGTCCCCATAGAAACAAGATGGTAGGGGCAGTTGGGAAAACGGGGTGACTAAGTTGGGTGGTGAAGCACTGACTCAGGAGGGAACGTGGCATTTGTCTCCAGACCCCCTAGTCCCCTTTTCCATGTGGTGCATGTCACCAGAAGTCAGGCTTCAGCTCCGTGGGGAGAGCGATTTCCAGCGTCTAGAGCTGCCCAACACTGGGACAGGACTCCAGAGAAAGCAGGGACCCCTCTGCCCGTTGCTGAATGTCTTCCACCGGAGGCAGCTCACGACATCGGAAGGTCCCAGAGGGTGTTCTGTGGGCAGGAGGTGGCCTTAACCCCAGGCTGTGGGCTTGAGCAAGATGCCCCTGCTCGAGAGGAACAGAAGAGAGCCATGAAGCCAAGCCCTGACTCCCGGCTCCTGGGCGGAGGCTGTTGGTGATGAAGAAGGAACCCAAGTATGAAGATGATGGCCTCTCTCCAGAGGATGCCCCCAGCTCCGAGCTGCTAGCCTTCCTTCTTCCTCTTCCCCAAATGGAGGTTCCCACTTCCTCCCAGTTCAGGAATAGCTGCCATCAGCAACAGCAAACTCCGTGTCAAGGAATCTGGAAAGATTGAGATTTTATTTGAAAATTTCTTTGCACCATTATCTTGCTTTTCCTTACAGTTTTCCATGAAGAATCTTCAGGAGCAAAACTTTAATCTTATCATGAACCACACCTATGTAGCCCTCAGGGGATCTCACACAACTACACCCCATCCCTTTGGTGAAGATAAAGCCTACCCTTCTGTCAAGATTTTGATTTCACACTAAGACACGCTTGCAATAAATTTTTACAAATTTTGCATATCATGAGCTAAATTCTGAATTCTAAAACATGAAGTATGGCATATACATAAACACACACACATACATACATATATACGTGATTTAATTCCAATATCTCACGTGATTTTTATTTCTTCAGCAAAGTTTGTCTACAGTCAGCAACTTTGAAATACAATCAGATATATTGCATTTGCTTCTCTGGTGGTTTCTTCTGGGGGAGGGAGGATATGATGAAGGAAATTCATGAAAAGCATCATGAATAATAGCAGAAGTTGGACAAAGCCTGGCGAACCCACCCTACAGATTCTCCCAAAGGTAAAGAGGGATGGCAGGCCAGGGGGCCCCAAGGGCACAGGCAGGTCTGGGGACACCTGAGCCTTCTCAACTCTGCTGCTGATCCTGGGGAAAGTCAGGGGGTTTCCCATGGGGGCCCTTCTCTATCTCCCCCTCCCATCTTGTTCATGTTGGGGGTGGGGGGGCAGGTGGGATCAAAGGGTCTC